TGGGTTTGATTCCCTTTTATGTGGTTCATTGCGTTGCTGGAAATATTCCTCAAACATATGATCCATATTGACATGATAGCACCACACAGTTGCTGGAGATTGGCCGGCTGTTGGAGGAACTGCCCAAAAAGTGTCGGCGTGGGCCATGCGGCAACCCTCCAATTGTAGGCCATGTTTGCCAGTCAACACTTTATTTATTGTGTCTAATAAATTCAGTGAGGGTTTAATGATGTAGTGAGGAGTTACCCTAACCATTTCTTACCCAACCCTAACCCTTACTTTAGTCCAACGTTACACCAGGAGTCTGAGTATGGATGCTTCTGCTGGTTCACTTTCATGTAGTACCGCATACTTAGGTTTGCAATGTTGGACCATGATTATCATACTTGCTATTATATAATATGAGATTTGTGAGTTATAGTGCCTCTGAGCACACAGTGAAGCTGATAATTTAACATGCATAAAATATGCCTCAGCACATTATTTGTACCAACAATACCTGCTAAAAATGTGCAGATGTTAGGTTGACATATAGCCTCCTTCTGCCGGGTGAAGTTGTTTGTTGGTCCTTCTCTTTCTATTACATGGCCAACACAAGTGTGCACTTAGCATTTTGAGTGCTATGAATACACCACCTGGGTACTCAGAGCACTTGCACATTCAAAATAGTGGAGTTTTGGTATAGACATATGCAACTGGAAAAGCATGAGTCTTTATATTAAAATGTAAAGATGTATCTCATCAGCACTTGTATTTTTAAAGTTCTAATTTAACTGTGATAATGTGATGAATGCACTAAAAGACGCACATTTTTCTGTTTTTCATTTGACTGGTGTCTCTGTTAATAGGTTAGAACATAAGCGAACTTGCACACACAGCCTAACGGGCTCCCCCTGCCATTTTTCTCTTTTCTCTAGACGATGCCTTCTTATTGATGGGTCTGAACATAGCTGACCTCTACCCCGACACCACACGTTATATCACCTACGAGGGCTCCATCACCATTCCTCCCTGCTATGAGACATCCACGTGGATACTCATCAACAAGCCAGTCTACGTGACACAGATGCAGGTATGAAAGTGTAGCACAGGTATCTGGCGTCTGGCGGAAAAAAATGACTTGTATTGTGTTGATCGGGGAAGAAACTTGATTTCTAATTTTCTTGCTGGCATGGGGTACAAACATGCCTCAACTGCAAATTACACCTTCATAACCTGCAATTTTCAAACCGTCTGTTTTTCCCTAAGTGGTTTAGATAAAGCAGGCTGTTGTAACAGTAACGTAATGAAACGACAGAAAACAAACAAATCCACTTTCTTTATCTTAAGGTCTAAAATAAAAGCTCGATTCAACTGTGCTGGGTTTTTTTACAAGGTCCTCAAGTCATTGAAAATCCTTTTGTTTAAAAACAGAGTAAAACCTTCAAAAACTAACTAGAGCTGTAAACACAATGTAACGGAAAAAAACACCATGACTTCATGTCCACAAAGTCCGTACGCAATGAAATCAAGAGATGCACAACTCCTATTCTTCTATTCATTGCTTCACTGTAGCAGTACTTTTTCAACCACGTCTGCTCTTGATCAGATAATAAAGGAAGAAAAAAAATCAGTTTTGTTACAGAGACATCAATGCAAGATAAACCAGGGATGAGATATATTGCAAAATGAACTTGTCCTACAAGATGTTTGTCAGTGCAGAATCTAGGATGCCCTATGCTATTCTAGTTAATATAAAAGCAAATAATGGCTAAGGCCCCTGGAAAGTGACGCGTATCACCACAAGCACCACATCCCAAAAAGAAACTATGCTGAGAAAGAAAATGGTAAAAAATTAATCTCTGTCTCTCTTCCACAGCATACCTTTATCCTGTCCTCTTTCTCCCACCCCAACCGGTCGCAGCAGATGGCCCCGCCCCTCCCTGAGCCTGGTTCTGCCGGAGGTTTCTTCCTGTTAAAAGGGAGTTTTTCCTTCTCACTGTCGCA